TGCCCCTGTTAGCCTAGTTTATGAGAGATTTGAAAAACATTGCTTCAAGTGTAACAGTCTCACACATGAGGAAAAGGATTGCAATAGAAAAAAGGAAGTGGCTACCTACGATAGAGAGGCCTATGACAGCCTCAAAGACAGAAGCTCACCACCACACCAGAGAGGCCATGCACCCTACTACTACAAACCCTCAGGTGAGGAAATGGACTTCTCCCAGAGATATGACAGACATGGCAGACATTTTGGAGAGGGCATCTCCTCCAGAAACTCTCCTAGGGAAGCAAAAAGGCCTACAAAATCCTACAAAACACACAGGTCAGAACATCACAACAAATATCAATCTGAGAGAAGGTCTCCAATCATACGATCTGGAAGAAGAGATAATTCCCCCTTGGAACACAATGGTAGAAGGGATAACAATGACCTGAGGCAACACCTAAACTCTAGAGGAAACTCCTCCAATCCACAACCTCAACAAATGCAGTGGAGTGTGAGAGAAACTACACCTGATAACTCCAGGCACGAGGCCTCAGGCTTATCCCACAGTAGGAGACCTCCGCTGGAAAGAAACTTGGACCTGGTCAGCTTTCCTCCCCCCTCCCAATCCCCACCACTGAGGAGATTATGGAAGATCTGAGAGAGGTCACTGTTCAATACATGTACTGCCCTAACTCTACTGAAAATGCTGCTAGGAGGCAAAGAGTTATGGATGGAGAAGGTGTTGATCTGATGGCCAAAACAGCGGCCTCTATTAGATCAGCGGCATCTCACCAAGCTGGAGGATCATACTCCATCCCTCTTCCTCAGAACGGCCTCCCTTCTGATCTGCCTCAACTAGCTCGCTCTAGCCCTACAGGCCTAGAACCACCCGAAAAGAAACGCAGAGGTAGGCCATTTTGAAACCGAAAGGAAATGCTAGTCCTAGATCACTACCTGGAGCAAATTCAAAAAGGAGAAACCTTTGTCAATTACAAGGCTCCCCAAGAAGAAGAAACAATGACAAACAAGCTATCCCTCCTAGTAAGGAGAACCTTCTCAATAGTATGAGCAATCCCAACCATGAAACATCTCACCCCAGCAACCCCCAACAAGCCCCAAGGACAACTATCATTCCAGCTATGGCTAAGA